AAAAGGTTATGTAGAAGAATGTGGAAGTCTCTCCTGCATATTAACTAAAGAATGTTCTTGAAAATGCACAAGAAGAAAGCACACCTAAGAGTCAGTTTCTCTGTATCTGAGATGAAATGGGGCACTGGACTGGCAAGTTTCTGTCGCCAGTCCCACTCGATGAGGACCTATGTATGTCACTGAGCTCCAGATTTCTGGTCTGCTAACAGTGAGAACAAAAGTCCCCCTTCCTCATGCTCTGACACTGTGAAGTCATCTGAGTAACTGCAATCTCACTCCAGAACACACAGAACACAACTGTGTTAGTATTCAGGCGCTGCCAACCGAGCACTTAACAGGCAAGAACATACTCTACAAGTACGTGATGCCTGTTTCCATCACCTACCCATGACAGCCCCACCTCCCGTGTACCCTCTTTTTCTGGTGGTAGGGAGTAGAGAATTCTTGGCTACACATTCTAAACCCAGTTAGAATTAGTTAGTTGTGTTTTCATTTGTTCCATTTCTTTTTTTCTTTTCCCCAACAAGACAGAGTCACACTGTGTAGCTTTGGCTGACTTGGGACACACCATGTAGACTAGGCTGACCTGGGACTCAAGAGATCCACCTGCCTTGCCTCCCAAGTGCTATGATTAGAGGTGTGTACTACATCTGACAACCAGCTGGTTTTTTTTTTAAAAGTAAAAAGTAGATTTTTGTGTCAAACCTGGTATTTTTTTTAAAGCCATGTGTTTACCAAATACTGTCCATCCAAGGATGTCCCTCTCAAGCCAAGGTTACCTCCAGCCTCAGCTCTCAGAGAAGACTGGACTTTATAAGAGAGAGATAGTATGTGGGCAGGGTTGTAGAAACACAAGGTAAGCTTTTCTCAAGATCGGAGCTGTCAACTATTAGGTTTCTGTGTGCTGTTTTGTCAGATGGGGTGTGACAGAATCCACCTTCAGTAAGTAGGTGATGAGAATGGTGTAAAAGCCCCTGGCAGAAAAATGGGCTCAGAGAGGGGTAGAGGGACCTAAAGGTTCATTCCCTTCTCTCTGAGGTTTACTTGCCCTCCTCAGCCAATCATAATGTTACAATGAGCTGTAGGAGAAAAACGAGCCCTCTAGAGATTCAATACCCAGAGAGGCATGTTTGTATCACACAGCAGAACATACATGAATGGCAGCTCAGAGCATGGCCCTCAGTAAATGGCTCTTTGCAGCCACAAGAGTGAGCTATGATCTGTTCCCATATCCCTAGGGTCCTAGGACATGAGGGTTCTAGGAAGCTCTATCTTGTCCCAACCTACTCCTGTTTCAGGCCTGCTGCTAGCTGGAGCTCAGTCATTGTGTGTACTCATGGCCAACACCTGGCAAGTTCAGCAGAGCGCCTCTTCTCCTACTCCTCACACCACTCAATATCCTAGGAGTCCATTTTAGTCATGGCCAGGGCTCATCCTCAGATCTCCAAGACAGAGGCATGTGATCTCTGCATACCTGTTTCTACCTCAGCAAAATGGTGAAGGAATTTTCTACCAGCAGAGAGGGTCTAAATAAAGGAACTAAGAGAGGCTGGGTCCTGGCACCCAGAAGTTTCTTACCCAGGCTCTGGGGTGCTATACACCGCTCTCTATGCTGTGCCTTTTTTCAGTACCCTAATCTGTTGGGTTTTAATTAAGGACTACCACATCTTTTCCCTGTAAGACCTAGGGCTCCTTGGTATAAAGAATGGCAGGTCAGAGATTCTGGTTCAGGCAAGTGATTAGGGAACAGGCTAGGCCCTGCATCCCTCTAGCTGTCTGTCCTCAGAAGCCCCAGTAGGGAGGAGAACCAAGGGTATAGAGAAGAGGCTCCCGGGCTGTCCATATCCTTGGAAGCAGGTATGCAAGAGGATAAGAAGACTCAAGGGAGAGACAAGTGATGATGTGTACTTGCCAATGTCCCTAGACTCCTGGTGTTCCCACCTCTGAGCCAGTCATGCTCTTTGCCTAGGACCCCCACCTCTTTCCCAGTGCCCTCCAGATAATGTTTCATAGCAGTCACAGCTGAGCATTTGTCAAGTGCAGCTGCTACTTGTGCTTGCTCTGTGGCCACTCTGACCTAGAGCTGTTCACATTCACATATGCACCCCCTCCCCATCTTGCACCCTAAGCCTCAAACACATTGTCCAGAATATTGAGTTGCCATGCTCCTTCTCTGGCAAAGAATACTGTGCAGTGAGTCCCTTTCCTCTGGGACACCCACTCCTGGGGCAGGGCCTCCTGGACAGACCAATGGGCTCTCAGCAATATAGCTTCAACAGCCACAAGTACAAGGTCAGATTGACCTAGTTCAGCCTAGTCTGGATGCCCTCTATACAGCACCTGTTCTACAATCTTACCTCCAAGATGGCCTCCTCTCACAGTTTCTCCCAGCCGCTTGGGCTCTGGTTTAAGCCCTATAAGCTAGCCCAGCAATAGCTCATGTGGCCGGAGCATCTATGACAGAATGGCTCTAACAAGGCTTCTCTCTCCCTACTTTTTCCCTACACCTCCCACCCAAACCCCACTTTGTGTTTCCTACTTCTACCTGCTTTTCCCAGGCCACTGCATCAACTCTGACCCCAGTCCTGCTAGGATCTCATAGAACCAGGGAACTTCGTGAGAGAATATCATCCACACCCAACCTATACCACAGGGCAACACAGTAACCTAGTGGTGACAGTGCTTTCATCAGGCAGCAAACTGGTGGCCCAGGGTCCCTATCTGTCCCATAAGTGGGTTACTGAATCAATTGTTATGTGATTTTGAACAGGATGTGTCATGAACACATCTAAATTTTGGGTCTTGAGAAAGCAGATGGCAGGTACTATGGTTGTAAAACCCAGGAAGATCAAGTGGCCCTCAAGGCCTGACCTGCACGGTCCACCTGGACTGGCATTATATAAGCATGGGTCCCTTCACCTTCCTGATGAAACAAGGTAACATATTAGCATTTTAAACAGGGTTGGCCATGCCTTGATTCATGGCAGCAGGGAGAAGTGTCATTATGGGCGGGAAGAAGGCAGAAGGCAGAAATTCAGCTGAAACTGGCCCTGAGAGGTGGCGACTTGCAGGGATGACTGGGGTAGGCAAGGCAATGCAGTTTACTTGGGTACCAAGGGCTTTTGTGGGATGAGTGGACACCTGTCTTCCTCCTTCCCAGTTCTGTCCTTTGGAGCTAACTTCCCATCCTACCCGCCCCTCTCACTCTCTGGGTACTATTTCTGGCTTACAAACCTCTCCCTGGTCACGCTCCCGCTAAGATTATGAGGTCAGATCTAATAAATCTCATTGGGGCCCAGCCCAGGAGTACCCCCTCCCTTTTCCCAAACATCCCACTTTTAATGAGGCAACCTTAGATGGCTCCAGTGAGCACTCCTACTGAGACTTAGCTGAACCCCAGCTGTCCCTCTCAACAGTCAGCACGCTTAACTCCTCCCCCCATTGGTGGCACAGAAGTCCTGGATATAAAGATACAGATGAGTCCCTTTGTGCCAGGGGCCACCAGACACTTGAGCAAAGCCCACCTCACTTTCCTGACAGACTTGCCAGGAAAAGCTCCCACCACAAAGGGGAAATGCAGCTCAGATACTTTGAGGCAGGGGCCTTGGATTCTTTTGGATAGGAGTTTCTCCCTCCCAAAGAAGTTGGGTGGGCCTGGGGCAGAGGCAGCCAATTAGTGTGTAGGAGTAGGAAGAAGAGCAGTGGTAGGTACGCATCCCAGATACCGAGGTGAGCAGCTTTGCAGGAATGTCTATCACCGGATGCTTGTGACTGCTCCTCTCCTCGCTACCAGAGCAGTCCTTTCGGTTAGCAGGTGAGATAACCAAGCAAAGCAGAGCAATGCCAGGCCTGGGCTTTCCTAGAGAAATCTTAGCATGTGCACCCCAAGTGTGGCTGCAGTGCCCGCAGGCCCTAGCAGCACTTGTGTCTGGTCTGCTATACCATCAGCGAAGACAAGATATGAGGGGTTGGTACAAAAGACGCAAGTCAGACAATTGCCTAGGTAGTGAGTTGTCAAATTCCCCACATGAAGGAACACCATGTGTGGATGGCCTCAGAAAAGAAGAAACTCCGGAGTGACGTGGAGAATGAGAGGACTCTCTCGGTCTTGAGACCTGGCTTCCCAGAGCTTCTGCAGAAGTAGTGGGAGTCTGGGTGCAGCTAAGAATTAAGAAAACAGACTGGGCCTCAAGGCCAGAGAACTGGATACAGCCTTGAGTTCCCAACATGAAACATGTCATTTTCTGTAACAACAACCACACACACCAACATGCACAGCTATTTAAATATGATGTAGCACCAGATACACAAGTACAGATCCATGGGGTTCTGATGGCTGCCGTTCAGCTCCTGGGACTTAAGCATATCACCTGGGGGAGCCCTAACTGGGCATGTACCCCCAAGACCTGCCATAGCCTTCCAAACTGGGTCCTGAGTCTGTGGCTGGACCCTGCTTATCCAGACCCTCAATTCAGCCTCAGCCTCTTCCTGGCTGGGGGTTGAGCAGGAACAGCTCAATCAGGATATAATCGTTTTTAATTAACGTGCGGATCATTTCACAGGCTGATCTCCTTGGAGACCATAAGGAAGACGGTCTTCTAAGCTTTTCATTCTTTTTGCTCTCCCAGCGCATTCCTCCCAGCAAAAGGCCATACTTCACTTTTACCTACCACCTACAACCTTGAGAATCACACAAAAGCCTGGCTCTTGGGTCTCTTCAAGGCTTTTAGGAGGAAGGATGTGCTCACAAGCATACACATACACAATTGTGCATCCAACCCCCAAAACGTACCTTCAGAGATGTACACACACCCACAGAAGGTAGCACAGGCATGTCTGTCCAGACAGGAATATGCATGTGGAGGAGAAGGGTCACAAGTTGGAGGCCAGCATGGTCTACATAGTAAGATCCCTGTCTCAAAACATAAACAAGGGGTGAGGAAGATTAGAGGCACACATGTTGGCACATCCCAAAACATGACACACAGAGGAGCACTCACCTGTGCAGACATACCACACAAATCTCCAAGTCCATATTCAGCACAGTTTCAATATTCAGGGCGAAAGTACTGGCAGGGAACAGTCAAAACGGGCCCTGTCCTTAGGTGGGGAATCAGAAACCACAGCGGCCTGCTACAAGGGTCTCTAGGACTGGATGCAACACGCTTAAAGTCAGAAGGACTCAAACCAAATAAGGTGGCATATGGGGTCCAGGTTGGTGGCTTCTCTGTCCCGTTCCCTATGGAGAAGGATTTAGAACAGCACTCAGCCCTATATAGACACCCAAGGTGCCCAGCACTAGCTGGCCTGGCATTCTCACTGAGACTAATGTCCCTAGTCTTTCCTCTGGGTACCTGACTCTGAGGCCCACAGAACTTTCTCTTTACTTCCTTAATTTGACTTAAATCTTTTCAATCCCATTTTCCTTTTTCTCCTTCCTCCAGTCTCTTCCTTCCACACTCCCTTCCCATTCTAGAACCACTGTTTCAGCTGTTTCTTTTTCTCCCTTTCATCCCAGGCACTAGAGTCAACCTCAGGTCAGAAGGAAAATTCTAATTGGACTGACTGTAGCCCATTCCAGACATAGTACCTCTGATAGGTGCTTATACCTCTCCAGCTCCTAACAGAACACAGCTGGATCTGTGAACTTGGAACCTGAGGCATAGAGGCCCCTGCCTCTATGACCCCATGGGGCCTGAACTCAGCCCTACCCCTCTTGAAGCACCTGCTTTTGATCCTCAGCTTTTCCCTTTGGAAAATGAGATGGCAAAGCGGAATAAGAGCTGTGGGGAGGTTTAACAGGGAGCCTGTGGCCAACCAACCTCAGGCTGGTGACTTGGGTAGTAGCTCTGGACCTATGAGCACAGCAGTATACATGATACAGAGGTAGTTAGGAGCCTATTTGCTACTGATCCAGCTAGAGAGAGCAGGGACAGGCTGAATGGTTCTCCTCACCTGTTCTCTCATCTATGAAACGAGCAAGCTCAGCTTAGGATTCTTCCCGAAGCAATAACCCAAGTACCAGACCAGTAGCAGGTTCTTGATGTGTGACCTTGGGACTCACTTCCCCTCTGGGCTCTGGTTTTCTCTTCTGTCAAAACAGGGAGGTCAGACCAGTGACTCATTGCCAAGGTTCTTTTCAGCACTAGAAGTTTCTAGATAGTAGGGAAGGAAGAACAGTGTCCTACTTAGCCGAGGAAAGCTAGGGAAACCTGTTTTTTCCACTGCAGGCATGCCGGAGTCTTTCATGGTGACGGCAACAGCAGCAGTGGCATTTTGAGGAAATCACCTTAAACATCAGAAAAGGCTCTCTACACAAAATATACCCAACTACATCACTTTGTTCCAGCACATGGAACAAAGGGCAGTATTAAGCAAATTACAGCAAATCCACTTGACTGGAAAAGCCTGAAGATGTTAACATTGGTATTTATGAAGAACTGGTTACAAACCAGGAAAAGGCTGGCGTTATCAGCCCAAAAAAGGAGGATATACATCTAAATATGGACAATTCAACAAAGCCTTTAAAATCACCAACCACCAAAGCCAACATGTGGGAAGAATCCTACCAACATGTGAGCACTGTCAGAGTCCATTAAGACACTCAGTAATCTGTTTGTTTTTCTCTATTTTCCAGCGTATTTTGCAAACTGTGTTATAACATATATGTCAAAAAAAATACCTTCAAAAAACGACCTGCTGCTTCCAATCCCCTTTCACTCACTGATTCACTCATTAATCATTCACTCCTGTGTTTGTCTAGCCAAATACCAAACATTATTGTCTGCAATGTGCCTGGCTCTGAGGTTCTATGAGAATAGCTTTTGCCTACAGGAAATGGAGGTCATGTCCAGGGCAGGGCAGACAGTCAACTCCCCCCCAGTGCTGTATCCCCAGCCCTCCCTCATCACACACAACTCTCCAAAGTGCTTGTGCGCTGGGGTTGAGGAGTAGGTAACAAACCTGGTAAAATGAACCCTGTTTCCCAGAGCCTTCATCTCCAGTCTGTCTCATCTGCTGTCAGTCTACTCTGGGGGTCAGAAAGTCACTCTAGAAGACCCAGGCCTTCAACTTTCAGGGTGAAGGTGTGGGTGTAGGTAACGTAGAGAGTCAGGGAGGTTTTCTTCCTAAACCCAGCCCCCATGATGACATCCCTCCTCGTTTTCATGACCCAGGCTTGTAACCTCTTTCCCTTGAGCCACAAGGCCACAGCTTGGCTGTCTGACCGTCTCCAGACTCTGCCTTGGGTCTCCTATTTGGCCCCTAAATGAGGAGCCAGCATGTCTCCTGTCCAGTCAATGGCAGACTGCAGCTGCTGTGTACAGGGAATGCGGGGTCTGGAGCTGCAGTTCCAGCCAGGCAGTATTATGCTGCTAGCATGGAGGGGCTAACAACGTTTCTCTGTTGTTTAGGGACTGACAAATTTCTAGAGGAAAGGTTAACTCTTTGGGTTCCTGGACCCAACCACAGAGCAATCTAAAGATAGTCCAGTCCCCTAACCCCAAATCTTCCTCTGTGCTCCCCCAAGAACCCTGTCTTTAGGGAGAGAAGAGAAAAGCCAGCCTGTGGTATCTGGACCTCAGCCCCCTTACCCCTGACCTTGCTCAACTAGGAATCTATCAAAGCTGGGGTTCATAATGCCCAGCTAGTCCCACATCCCTTCACAAACCCAAAGTGAAAAGATCTGACAGCTTAGAGTGCCAAGGCCTGACCCAGAGGTTCTCCCTCAGAGCTGAGCCCTCCCCCTTTCTGGACTGCAGTCCCCAGGAATTCTTCAGGATAGACCTCCTTTCCCATGAGGCTAACTGTTCTTATCACTCCCCTCCCCATTCAGCAGCCCTTCACCCCATTCCATCCCAGGGAGAGGTACAGGTATCAGATCTCAGGGTCACCAGAGCAGGGATGTCTGCTGTGGGTTTCAGGAAGACAAGCACTTCGTCACATAAGCACATCACCTCCGGGATCACCTCTCAGCCTGCATTGTACAGGAGGGGAGGAGGCTGAGGTTGGAGCGGCCCTTCTACGTGCCCAAAGGCTTCAGCCAATCGTCAAGCCTCAGCGGGCAGACTCCACAACCCAGTCAGTGCACCCCAACTCACCCTGCTGGGCACCCCTACTTGTTTCCTCTCTACACCACCCAGTGGTAACCTCTCTAACCCAAACAAGGAAGAAAGGGGGAGTCCCTTCCCCTGCTTAGGGCTCAGGGTCAGCAGTCAGGAGAGGCTGAGTCATGACCCCTGCCCCTCACTGCAAAGGCATGAGATTTTATTGTCAGGTTGACCACTCGGCTGTTTCGGCAGGCGGGTGCAGGACAGAGGGCACTCTACAGGGAATGAGGAGGGGTATCTAGGGGAAGTGTTTGAAGCCGATCAGTCCACCAGATCCGGAAGCTGTCAGGAAGGGGGGGGGCGACCTTAAACGCTCCTAGGCTGAGAGGACGGGGCGGCAGTAGTGCCAAGAGGCGCCAAAGAACTGTCCCCCGGGAGACAGCACTCTCGGGAAGTTTCTCACTGGTTGCTCACAGTAGGACCGGTGCTCGAAACGCCCTCCCAGGCCAGACCAGCTTCCGGACACAGATTGCGAACTTGAGATGAACTCCTTCCTTCTCCAGCATCCCCATCTGCGGCCACCCGCCGCGACATCTCAGCCCCAATTCTTCCACGGGTAGCTCGGTTGCCGAGACCGCTCACCAAGGCATTGTGGAGCAAAAGGGAGGGGAGAATCCCCATCACAACCTAACTGCTGCGGCCATTAAAAAAAAAAAAGAAAGAAAGAAAGAAAGAAAAGAAAAGAAAAGAAATTCCTTCTCCTAGACTGATCCCCTCCACCCACATACAAACCCTTCAAACACGCAAACCCGCAACTCCAACAAGGATCGCGGCGCGGGTGGGAGGGGTGCCCGCGGCGACCCCCATCAGCAGCCCCGCTTCGCTGCAGGTCAGAGCGCGGTGGCCAGCCGGGATTCAGGGAGCCCTTGCCCGGAGCAGCCCGCCTAAGACACAAAGCTCCACCGCCAACAATACCTGCCTGCGGGCTCCTCCTGGGTCTCGGGGCGCCGACGCGGCGCGTCTCGTAGTCTCCCTTTTCTCTTGCCGTCTCTCTGCTATGGTGCGCTCTCCCCCTCGCCTCTTCCAGTACCCGACGGCCAGATGAGATCCTTGGGAGAAAAAAATGTGAGCGCTCACACGATTCCTTTCTCTGCGCGCCGCAAGCGGCGGCTGGGCTCGCTCCTCTCTTTCGCGCTCCCGTGCGCGCCGCGCCTCTCTAGTCCCTCGCTTCCTGCTCAGCAGCGCCTGCGAGTGCCCTCAGTAGCCATTATTCACCGGCCGCCGGGGGACAGGAGGTAATTAGAGACGGCCTTGTGGCCACATCCACTGGGCTAGCACGATGCGGGCGAAGGGCGCGCGCGGGGAGGGGCACGCGACAAGGGGGCTTGGCTGCGCGCAGCCCGCGCCCCAGACGCGGAGGAGGGGAGGAGAAGGAGGGGGCAGGGAAGAGGAGTGGTAAACTGGGTGCGAGCTGGAGGAGGGGGGGCAGCGGAGACGCTCCCGCGGCTCTCACCGCTAAGGCCAGGTCACGGCTGCGAGGTTCCTAGGCGCCTAAAGACGGGGTGGGGGCGGCCCCCCCCGGCCGCTTGCTGTGCGCGCGCGCGTGCGTACCAAAGCTAGAAGGGAGGGAACGCTTTAATATTTTTTCCAGTGACTTACGAGCCCAAGGGTGAGCCCCTGGCTGTGCGTTCAGGACCGTGTATCAGTGTGGCTATAAATTTCTGTTCTGCCCTACGTGTGAATGTCACGGGCTGGGGATGGGGGGTGGGATTAACTAGAAACCAGCCTCTGAACATGCCGTTAGGTCTCAGAGGGACTGAGTGATGCAGTGGTTGCGTGGGGGTGGTGTTTGTGTGCGATTGTTTATAGGTGGTAGTGTGACTGCGTGGGCGGGGCTGCCTGCGTGGGCTGTGTTCCGAGGGCGTTGTGTATTCGCGTGGGCTTGTTTGCGACAGGGCTAGCTGCTGTGTAGGGCCACGAGACTGAAAAAGTACGGACATTGCGCCTGTGCGTGCTCTGGCCACACGCAAGGATCTTAGGCTCCCTGTGATCGCGTAGGGTCTGAAGCCTGACGGGCAGAAGCTGGCCTTTGAGGATCCCACAGTGGCAGAATAGCTGTTTAAGGTGCGAACAAGTAGTGCTGGGGTTGGGGCACAAAACGACGCGTGGGGGTGTGGGTGTAGGTGTAGAGAGGTAGGCAGAGGGGGATCTTCATGACAAGCTTCCCTTCATTGTACCAAAGATGCACCTCGGAAATCCTGGCACAGACCCCACAGACCTAGAGGTTTAGGGTTTGGGGGGGGGTGACGACATTGGGAGAACCTAAGGTATCCTGGGAGCAAGAGGTGAGGGCGGTAGTGCCTGAAGATATCCAGAAAATAAGATGAGACAAAGAAGACTAGGACTTTGAGACTGGACCTCAGAGGAGGGGGTGGGCCTGCCACCATGCAAAAAAAAAAAAGGCAGATCCTTGGAACATGATGGAAGTGCGGAGGAGTGGGTAGGCCTGCCACCATGCTAAAGGCAGACCCTTTGAACATGATGGAAGTGCAGCACATAGTCTCAGACTGAGAGTTTTGCTAGCCAGTCCTTTTGCAAGCCACTCCCTGCCCATGCAGCCACCCACTCACCCATTCCTATCTATCCATCCATTCATTTATGCATCTGTACATCAATTCAGGTACCCATCCAGGTTTTCCAAGCCAAAATTACCCAGGTCCCACTCCCCCACACCTTCTCTTCCTCCTCAGGAGGCATCTATCCTGCTCTGGTAAGGAGCTACCTTTTCTGCACTTGAGGTTAGTAGTCAGTCTAAAGACCACCCTGCACATACTGAAGCCTCCATACCCCTTCTCACCCCACCCTGCTCATGGTGGTATGCCAACTAAGCTAGCGGGAGGTGATGCTGTTTCTCCCCAGTCCTCCCTACAACCTGGTAAAGCCTAGGAAGGAGTGTATAACACCATTGTTGTGCCTTTTGATCCTTGTCCTGAAAGTCACGCAAGCCTGCCATTGGAATGGGAAGATGCTTTAAAACAGATTCCAAGTTAGGCATAAAGGAACTGACTTGGAATCCCAGCACTTGGGGGATAGAGGCAGGAATTCGAGGCCATCTGCTATATTGCAAGTTTGAGGCCAGGCTGTAATACTTGAGACCCTCTCTCAGACAAAAAGTAACAACAATCAGAATTCCTTATCAAGTGACTGTCCAGAGCCTTGTACAGGTTGTTCCCTTTACTGGGAGTCAGCATTTGCAGCCATGCTTGGCATTTCTGAGTTTCCTCTGGCCCTACTATGCAATAAGTAGTCACCTGAAGAACAGAGCTTTGCCAAGGATGAAGGATAAGGTCCAATCTCTCGAGCTTTGAAATGCACTTATTTTTAGTGTTGGTCTTCAATGACCTGGCCTGGGAACCTGTGTCACTAAGTCCTTAGGAGTTAAGAACCATAAGGCATACTATGGGTACCATCAAGTGTGGTGATACCACAGATCCATGCTGGGAACCACCAACAGCACTTCCTGATTTACCTACCTCCTCTATGCAATCACTTGCAAAGCCAAGCCTGCAAGATGTACACAGAGATGGTAATATGGGCTGAGGCTCACTTTCTTCCCTGCCTCTTAAATTTTATTTTTGTAATTAAAAAAAAACCAATTTAAGTGAGGAAGAGACAGGAGAGATGACCCAAAGTTACATGTACTGACTGCTCTTCCAGTGGGGCTGAGGGTGTTCAATTCCCAGCACCCACATGGAGGCCCATCACCATCTGTAACTCCAGTTCCAAGGGTTCAGACACTCTCTTCTGGTCTCTTTCGAGTGCCAGACATTCATGTGGTGCACATACATACACATAGGCAAAAACCTCATACACATAAAATAAGAAATTTAAATTTTATGTTATGCATATGGGTGTTTTGCCTGCATATATGCCTGGTGCCTGTGCAGATAAGAAGAGGTTGTTGGATTTCCTTTGGAACTGGAGTTATAGAAGGTTTCAAACCACCATGTGTGTGCTAGAAACCAAATCCAGGTCCTCTTGGCTGAGTCACCTCTCCAATCCCCCTCCCCGCTAGCCTGACTCTTCAGTGTTCCCGGTGGCTGCTGATGGTACCTTCACACAGGTCCTTATGAATTTCCTGATGTCATATCCTACCCTCTGGCCTCATTGCAATGCCCCTTCTTACTGTACATGCTGGTCCCTCTGCCTGGAACACTTTCCCACTTCTAAGTGGAATGTAATTTTCCTGTTTGTTTTTGTAGGTGGCTTTCCTGGTTGTTCCTTGGTGTGTCCTCCATTGCTAGGTTGGTGCCTGGTAGACATTCAGTAAGTATTTGGTGATGAATGATGGTGAATGAGTGAGGCTATACCACCTTCCATCTGTGACCTTTATTCAGCCTAGGGCTTCTCTAGGAACTTATAACCACTCAGACTGGAGGTAGGGTGTGTGTGTGTGCGCGCGCGCAGAGACTTGGAGTTCAGTCAGGCTACATAACTCACCTAGCCAGAAGTACTCTTCAGGATCCCTAAGGATCTAAAGGAATGAGGTAGTGGTTGGTGACTTGTCCCAAAGAAAAGAGGAGTATTTATTTGGTCTAGGCCTCTCTTTACTCAGTGGAGTTCCCAAATAGAAAGGTCAAGAGAAGCTGTATTCACTTCTGCCTGGTGCAGTATCTGGCATGTGGTATTCACAACTCAATGTGTATTTATAAAGTGACAGTCAAGAGTCACATTTAAAACTGCATGAGGGCCAGGCGCACATCTTTAATCCCAGCACTTGGGAGGCAGAGACAGGCGGATCTTGTGAGTTTGAGGACAGTCTGGTCTACAGAGTGAATTCCAAGATAGCCAAGGCTACACAGAGAAACTCTGTTGGGGGTGGAGGTGAGGGAAACGAAACCAAAAATAAAATAAAATTGCATGAGTCCACCCTCTGGCTTATTCCCCAAGATTCTGCTGACAGGGTTCTGTGTGGTAACAGGCAGCACTGGCCTGCAGCACATATCACTTTTATGTAAGGGGTGGCCAAGTGTAGGGCTGCACAGCAGGGGAGTTTCCTGTGTCCCCAGCCTTAGACTCCACCTCCCACTAAGTGAGTCCTGGCTAGGGACAGCAGAGTGGCAGACCCTCCTGAGCTGGGAAGAGTTGTATAGCTCCTGACCAGTCAGCCTCACAGTCGCCTGCGGCTATCTGAAGAGCTGCTTTATTGCACACTGAAAGGGAAGCTAGAAAGCAGTGGAAAGGCTGAGAACTTAAGCAGGAGCACAGAGAAGTCTGGGACAGTGGGGTACAAGTACCTGGCACAAAGGACAAGACCACCAGGGACAAGGTTAGCCAAGGGACACTTCCGCAGACACAAGAAGAGAACACCCACACAACCAAGATAAGTAGAAGTCATAAGATTCAGAAGTCAAATTCAAAACAGCCCTGGGCTGATAGCTGCAGGCTAAAAGTCTGCAAGACTGGGCTCAGAAGTCAGCCTGATGTTTTACTGTTTGTTTCGCTGGAGTTTTACATATATTGTACATATATTTGGGGGAGGGGTAGCAGTTTAAATATCTCTGTATAGCCTCTCCATTTCAGGGACTGCGTCAGTAACGTCCAAATGATGCCCTTGTAACTTCCAGGTGACAAAAGTGTCCATCTACTACTAGTTTGGCAGCTAAGTGCTGAGGACCTACTGTGTTCAAGGGTCTGTTCTCTGTGCAGTCATTGACTGTCCTATGAATGAATGATCTTCTGCCTGGGTCCAACATGGATAACCTGTTACCTTCCCACCTCTGAGCCTCAATATCATTTTATGAGTGTATCAACCCAGGTCAGCTGTCAGACGTCCCTCCTTGTGGGGCTAATGTATTCTCAAATCAACCAAGCTAATCTACTGCCATAGCTCTGCTTCACTATTTACCTGCACCAGGTATGGTTAACATGCCAGGGAGACAGCAGTGAGCATGGGAGTGGTGTAGGCATACGCTGCTAGCCTGTGCCTTACTGTCCACATTAGAACCCTCTGCTGCATAGCACTCCCTAGGGGAAGAGAACACAGAGAACATGTTTCTCTTTGAAAGCAAAGAACTTTGAATCTCAACTGGTAGTGATGCCACTGGGA